TTTAATGAAAGGATCCCCTACCCCCCCCCCCCCACACCCAAAACCTTTAAACCCCCCCCCGGGCAATATACCCCAATATACCCAAACAAACCCCCCACCCCTGGGCTCAATTTTACGACGTATCACGCAATTTCAATCTCCGCCTTTATGGAAAATTCGGTAAACCAGTAAAAAAAAGACCCGCACGTCCCCAACAAAATTTTGTTTTAATACTCACGTCACCCCACCGGGCCATTTAAAAACATATAAAAAATGGGAAACCCCACCCCCAAATTCCATCCCCCCCAATTACCCTCCCCTCCCCCCCCTTTACTCGCCTAAATTAAAGGGCTAGTTTCCTTTACCAAAAAGGCAGCCCACCTTTCAAACGTGCGGTGTTCATGTACACATTATAACCCTCATATAACTCATAACCAGGCCTAAAATTATGTTCCCGTAAGAATACCACTCCCACCCAAATGACCAAAACTCATTAAACCACTTAAGCTTCCTTCCTCTCAACCCGTTAATATTTATAGTAAAACCTTGAATTCAAAAAAATGGGTTTTCCTTTTTTCCCGGCATTGACTTACCCCAGTTCGTTTTGCAACACTTGTCCCCCCCCCCCTTTGTTGGGAATCACCCTTTCAATCCCTTTATCCCCTTTTTTCCCATTCCCCCTCGTACCTCCCCCAAGCTTTTCCCGGGCGTTGGGCGGGGTTAGCCATCTCAAATCCCATGAGCTGCATCCTCTTTTGGGTCCCCCCCCTCCACCGCATTTTGACATCTGAAGCACCCTCCCAGCACCTCACCTTACGCTGACCTTCAATCCCCGTAGCCTCTCGTCGACAAAAACCGTATTTTGCCATCCATCATTTCAAGCCTTCCCCAGAAAAGAGCCTGGGTTTCACCATTAGGACGATTCCTCAACAAGTCATCCAAAGCCTTTACAAAGACGCCGCCCCTTCTTCACCCCAAAAGGTAGTCTCTCCCCAAAAACCTTTTTGATGTCCAATGACTGAGTTTTTCCCCTTTTAGCGTACAACTGGCATTCAACTCCCTTTTTTTGCTCCTCTCCATGACAAACGTTGTGGGGGGGTGTAGCAAGGACTGTTCCGCTCATCGCCAACCCCTCCATGGGCTGTTGTTCGTTGCTGTTGTGTGTTGCTGTTTTTCCCGTTGCTGTTGTGCTGTTTCCCTTGCTGTTGTGCCGGGGACCCATTCGTTTCTCCACTGCCCCGCGATGTGGTAATTTTACCCACATGGCACGAAAGTTGTTGCCCCGCTACTTTCATGACTTGGTCCCTTTAAATTTTTTCAAAACAATATAGAGGGAAAAGGGGCCCCAAGACATTTAACTGTTACGCGCCTTCCCGCGACCCGCATCGGTCCAGTTGCCCATTTCCCTGCTGTGGCTACGTAAAAGTCCCCAAGTACGATTTACTGGTAATACAAAAATCTCGCCTAAAAAAGGCACTTTCTGATTTTCACCCAGGGTAAAGCGAGATACATCAGAAGTTCCCGACACAGCTGTATTAACCCGTTGAGGTCTCCTGTACTTGTCGACCCTGCCTCGTAGACTTGTCAGACGTCATCTTAACGAAGTTTTGTCATTCCATTTAAGCGACCCACATTTCCTCATTTTTCTTACCCCAGGATCGGAATGATCGTGGTAATAATAATCCATGTTGGATCCCGTGACGCACCACGGGTATCTAAAAGCAGACAGTGTTGATTTTTCTTTGCTATTCGCCCATGTTGGAAAAAATAAAGTTTCCACAACCAACGCTGGGCAGCTCAATCAGGGAAACTGCGCAAAACAAAATCAAACAGGAGCTTGCGAGCTGTCCCCACGGCCGGAGGGATGAGGACAATTAAAAAATAGTTATAAGCGGGAGGGAGGGGTGAAAGGAGACGGTCTTCATAGGTACATCAGGATATGCGAGGTGGTGGGGGGGTGGGAGTTCTGTAGGTGAGGCAATTTACGGGTATTTTTAAACGGGGGGCCCCTTTCTATTAATTGAAAATTTGTAGGGCAGATGGTAAGGGTTTGGGAGCGGCGGTAGAAAGGGGTTTTCCCATGTTGTTGGCGTAATTTTGGGGGGGGTTAAAACAAATTGCGTTTTAAAACCCCAAAAATCGGAAGTTTGTATAGATTTTTTCGGATATTGCGTCGGAATGGTTTTATTTTATAAGAGAAAACGGGGTGGGGAATGCAAAGGTTGGGAGGTTGGCGACATTTTTCATACGGTGTATTTTTGCGATTGTATTGAACTTATAAGGGTTTGGATGGGTAAGGTTTTAAGGTTAGGGGGGGGAGGGGGTTTGCAGGTCTGAGGGTTTTAAGTTTAGATTTAACTGGGGTGAATAAAAGGGTTGAAAATTTGCGATTGGGTATATGATTACGGATTATATATATATGATGTGGGCTATGAGGGAGGCGGACGTGCGTGCAAGAATTAAATGCGTTGGCAGCAACTTTTTATGGGGACACAGTGTGGAATAAAGGGGTGTATGGAGGGAGATGGGAGAGAGATTTTAGTGAGGGTTATCGAAATTTCACTTTAAAGGGGATTTATGGGTTTTGCAAAATGGGTAAGGGGACACAACGGGCTATTTTCCTAGACTTGGGTGTGAGCATGGAGTGCTGTTATAAGGATGTATAATTGAGTTTTGATATCTATGGGCAATATGGTTATTGCCCCGAGGGTTTCAGGAACTAAAAAGTTATCATTTAAAAATGTGTTGTACTACGATTGCATATTATCATTTATCATGCATAAATCATTTCAAGGACTTTATGATGAAAATTTTCAATGACTCAAATATGTTATAGGTGTCTTTAATGATTTTGATTCAAGTGTAATGTTTATAAAAAAAAAAAAAAAAGTTTTTCCTAGCAAAAAGCTATGGTTCTTATTTTGTTATATTTTTTTGCTGTGTTACAGTGTGTTTTTCAGTAATATTATATTACATGTAACTACTTGCATCATTTTTTCTTAGTTCCGCTGAGACGTAAAATTTCACATCGTAGTTTTGTTTTGTTATATTGGATGTTTTATTGTGACTTTTAGTATTATCCGTTTCCTTCTTTGTATCCTAAATACTTGTAGTTAAGATTTGTGATAATCGCCTAAATTAATGTTGAGTATCGTGGTGCTCTGTTAGCACCTGAGATCTTAGATTTAGTCTCTCATACGTGTGTGTGACAGGCAGAAACCTACTTATGTGTGCTTGTGTATGTGTGTCATTGTGCGTGTTTAGTTTTTTTTTTTAATCTCTTCTTTTATTGTACAATCTTTATAATTTCCATGTTTTGATGTTTTGTATAAGTAACTTGTTAGAGATGTTCTTTAACAATAAAACAATATCACTGTAATGTATAGTGTTGAGTGTGAGTTGTATTATTCACTGTAATATACGGTTGTGTTGTGTGTGAGAGTGTATTACCATTGTAATATACAGTGTGTGGGTGTGTGTGTATTACCACTGTGCAGTATGGTATCAATATTAGGTTTCGGGTTAAGTGAAATTCTAGTGCAGTAAGCTTTTGTCGTGTATCTTTTAATATATTTCTGCTATTGTATCGCACTGTTTTAAAAAAATATAAAAAAAAAAAAAAAATATATTCCTTATACGTTTTTTAGCTATTGTTTCCCACCAATTAACCATGGCACCATCCCTGGTCTTCTACCACTAAACGATCCCACATATGTCCAAAAGACAAAAGACTACTCTTCCTTTAATAACTTTACATTCAATTCCAAAATGATGGACCCCTCCGAGGCACACCCTCAATATCCACATCTATTACCACTCCTCTATGATCCGAAAAAACCACATCTATCACATCCACCCTCCGCACAGTAACCGCACTAGTCACGTACATTCGGTCCAACCTCGCCGCATAACCTCGTTTAATGAAGGTATGCTCTACCATCCTCCCCCCCACACACATCCTTTAACCCCACCCCGGTCAATATATCCCCAATATACCCAAACAACACCCCGCACCTCTGGGCTCCACATCTTTACGACGTATCACGCAATTCCAATCTCCGCCTATTATTGCAACATTCGGTAAACCACGTAAAAAATAGCCCCAGCACGTCCCGAAAAAATTTTTAGTTTTAATACTCACGTCACCCTCACCCGGGACCATAACACATACTAAACTAATGGGAACCCTACCCCAAGTTCCATCCACCCTAATTACCCTCCCCTCCCCCCTTCACTACGCCTAACTATAAACGGCTATTTTTCCTTTACCAAAATGGCAGCCCCACCTTTCAAACGTGTCGCGTGTTCCATGTAACATTTTTAACCACTCATATCCAACTCATAACCAGGCCTAAAATTATGTTCTGTAAGAATACCACATCCACACCAAGTCGCACCAAATACTCTTTAAAAACCATTTAAAGCTTCCTCTCAGCTCTCAACCCGTTAATATTTATAGTAAAACACTTGAATTCAACAAATGGGGTTTTCCTTTGTCCCGGCATTGACTTTACCCCAGTTCGTTTTGCAACACCTCTGTCCTCCCCCTTTGTTGGGAATCACCTTTGCAATCCCTTGATCCTTGTGTTCACCATTCCCTCTCTTCTGTCCCTCCACCCAAGACTTTTTCCCAGGGCGTTGGGCAGGAGTTAGCACTCATCAGAATCCGATGATGCTGCAGTCCTCTTTCGGTCCCGCCCTCACCTGCATTTTGACATCTGAAGCACCGTCCTATGCACCTCCACCTCTACTGCATGCCCCTTTCAACCCTGTAGACTCTCTCGTCGACAAACCGTCATCTTCTGCCATACCATATTCACAGCCTTCCCCAGAACTGAGCCTGGGTTTTCCCACCTGATCTAGGACCGATTCCTCTAACAAGTCATCCAACGCCTTTACCAAAACGCCGCACTTCTTCACCCTATTTGGTAGTCTCTCCTCAAAAACCTTATGTATGTCCAATGACTGAGATTCTCCTTTTAGCGTTACAAGGCGATTCAAACTCCTTTTTTTTTGTCTACTCCTCACTCCCTGACAACCGTTGTTGGGGCGGTGTAGCAAGAGACTGTTCTCGCTCAACGCCAACCTCGTCCACGGCTGCTGTTGTTCTTTGCTGTTTTTGCTGTTGCTGTTGCTGCTGTGCGTTGTGCTGTTTCCCCTTGCTGTTTGCCGGTACCCACTTCGTTCCACACTGCGCCGCGATGTGGGCATATGACCCCATAGCCGACACGTACGTTGTTGCCCCCCATACGTTACATAGATTGAGTCCTTAATTCTTTCAACACAATATATGAAGGAATAGGGTGCCCAAGAGTCATTTAACTGTATACGCGCCTTCCCGCGCACCTGCATACGGTCCAGTTGCCCATTCCCTGCTGTGGCTACGTGAACCGTCCCATAAGTAAAGCAGTTCACTGGTAATATCAAAATCAGTCGCCTCAAAAGGACATTCCTGATTTTCACCCAGGTGTAATGTCGAGATACATCATGAAGTCTCCCGACACAGCTGTATTTACCTGTTATGATGGTCTCCTGATACTTGTCGACCACTGCCTCGTAGACTTGTGCAGACGTCATCTTAACGAAGATTCTTGTCATTCCATTTAAGGCGCACCAAATTCCCCTCATTTGCTATCCAGGATCGCAAATATCCCTTAAAAATAAATCCATGTTGGACCCTGTGACAGCACCACGGATATCTCAATGCAGACATTTTGTTTCTTCTTGTATTCGGCCATGTGGAAAAAAAAAGTTTCCCCAACCAACGCTAGGGGCCTCAATCGGGGAAAAACTGCGCAAAAAAAAATCAAACAGGAGCGTTGCGCAGCTCGCCCACACGGTTCGGGGGCGATGAGAAAATTTAAAACATAGTTTAAGGGGAGGGAGGGAAAGGAGACGGTCTCATAGGATACCCAGGGTAGCGGGGGGGGGGGGGGTAGGGAGTTCTGATTGGGAATGTTTCGGGTATTTAAAAAAGGGGGGAACCTTTCATTTAAATTTAAAATCTTTTTAGGGAGATGTAAGGTTTGGTAGCGGCGGTAAAGGAGTTTATCCGTGTAATTTGGGAATATTTGGGGGCTTTAAAAAAATTGCTTTAAAATAAAAACAAGAATTAGTATAATTTTTTCATGGAATTTTGCCCTCAGGAATGGTTTTATTCTTTTGAGAATCGAGAGGATGGGGAAAGCAAGGATTGTGGAGGTTGGGGACTATTTATCATACGGTGTATTTTTTTGGGTTTTATTGAAATTTTAAGGGGTTTGGGGGGTAAGGTTTTAAGGTTAGTGGGGGGGGGGGGTTTGCAGGTTTGAGGGTTTTAAGTTTAGATTAAAAATGGGGTGAAAAAAAAATTAAACAAAAAACAAAAAAAAAAAAAAGGGGTTGGGGGCGATGGTAAGAAAACGGGAAATTTTTATAGGACACTGAGGGAATAAAGGGGGTTATGGAGGGGAGATGGGATGAAGGATTTTAGTGAGGGTTATCGAAATTTCACATTAAGGGATTTGGGGGTTTTTCAAAGTGGGTAAGGGGACACAACGGGCATTTTTAGACAGGGGTGTGAGCAGGAGTGCTGTTTAAAAGGATGTATTTTTGAGTTTTGATATCTATGGGCAAAATGGTTTTCCCCGAGGGTTTGGGACAAAAAAGTTATCATTTAGAAATGGTTGAAATACGATTGCTATTAATTTATCATGCATAAATCATTTCAAGGACTTTTGATAAAATTTTTTCAATGACAAAAATAGTTTTTGGGGTTCTTTAATGATTTTTGATTCAATTGTATTTTTAAAAAAAAAAAAAAAAAAAAAAAAATTTTTCCTAAGCATAATAGGGTTTCTTTTTTTATGTTATATTTTATGCTGTTTTACATCTGCTTTTCAAAATTTTATATTACTGTAACTACTTGCATCATTTTTTTTTTATTCCCTGGTGTAAAATTTCACTCGTATTTTTTGTTTTGTTATATTGGATGTTTTTATTGGTTTTTAGATTATCCCGTTTCCTTCTTTGTATCCAAATACCTTGTATGAAAGTCTTTTGATAATGCCTAAATTAAATGTTTGGGGTATCTGGTGCTCTGTTAAGCGCCTGAGATCTAGATTTGTCTCGCATACGTGTGTGTTACGGGCAGAAACCCTCACCTATGGTCTTGTGTATGTGTGCATTGTGCGTGTTTAGTTTGTTTTTAATCTCTTTTTTTTTGTAAAATTTTTTTAAATTTCCAGGTTTGATGTTTTGTAAAAAGTAACCTTGTTAGAGAGTTCTTTAAAAATAAAACAATTCACTGTAAGTTTTGAGGTGAGTGTGTATTTACGTAATATACGGTGTGTTGTGTGTGAGAGTGTTTACCATGGTAATATACAGTTTTTGGTGGGTTTTTTCCACGGGGAGTATGGTATAAATATTGGGTTTGGGGTTAAAGGAAATTTGGCAGTAACTTTTGTCGTGTATCTTTTTAAATTTTTCTGAATTTGTATCGCACTTTTTTAAAAAAATTATAAAAAAAAAAAAAATTTATGTATGTATTATTATTCTCAACACTTTTATATATATTTTGTATTATTTTTGTACAAGGTATGCCTCTAAAATAAAAAAAAAAGACTCTAAAATGTCCAAAGGTGCTTCGGGGGACCAAAACAGGATTTTAAAGTTTTGGTCGCAGTTCTGTGTTACCCAATTACAATTCATGGAAATCTTGCTTACAGATTCACCAATCAAAAAGCTCTGTTGTTTTTTTAAAATTGAGGGAAAGGTGGTTTTTAAATCATTCCTTTCTCGGTGTTGGTGGGTTACATTGACGACTCGAAGGTATCACTTTTTAGGGATAATTTTTTGCGGGAAAAGTAAAATTTTTTCTTTATTTCTTCAGCATTTAAATTTTTCTAATTCAGTTATATAGCTATTATTTTAATTCATTAATATTTAAAAAAGTGGCTTGAATTTAACCCACTTGGGGTTAGGCGAATTTTGGGTGTTTGATTCCGTTTCGTTAGAAAACTGTTAAGATCCTCACTATCTGAGCTATAGAGTGTGCTGTACATTAAAAATAATACTTTGAAATTACTTTTAAAATCGATTTGTCGTGATTGACGAAGTTCTGTTCTTATAAACTATTTTAAAAATTTAAAAAAAATTTTTGTAGTCTCGGGCTACATCCCTTTTACTGGCATTAGCATAAATTTTAAACTTAAAATATTTAATTTTTTAACTTTCAAATGTCCAATCAAAACACAAAATAGTTCTGAAACATAAAAAGTTCAAACACAGCTACACTATGTCCAGGTTCCCCTGTTTTTCCAGTAACATGACTGGGATCACTTCCACGGTCTCCCCACTCCTTTGAACTTCTTTAAACGAATAAATTTCTTTCAATAAATTTTCACTTTCAGAAGGGGCTCTTTAATTAACACAAAAAACACTACATCCACTTTTCAAATTTTTTTTTCGTTAAACGTTCGCTTTTAAACTCAATTACCCAAAACTAAACCCTGAATTTCGTCTACATACTCAGAGGAACCTTACTGTTCCTCTTCCCTTTGGTCCAACCACGTACCTACGGACTAAACCGCGTGTATAACGACTTGCCCAACACTTCAAACCCATACCGGAAACTGAACAACCATTGTATTAAGAAAACATTGTCAACCAATTGCAATTTTTACTATGGGCTACTTGACCCTAGCATTCTCAACGCACGTGAGGGCGCAGAAATGCATGTATAAAATGTATGGAAGCCAATTTGGGAGACTAAACGGATAAAATCCCGTATCATAAACCCCCCACCAGCGTCAAGAACCTCCATTAAGGGGACAAAAACAAATTGAACCGCTGCTTTTTCCCGAGATTTGCCCTACCGAGAAGGTTTATTTTCTAAAATAAAACCCTTTGGGAGATTCTTTACCTCTTCATAAACTGAAATTAAAATAGTGCTAAGGTTCCTAAAGCCCCATTTCCATAAATCCCACCCCCCACATACACTATATAATCCTACAGGTTAGCATTTTCCCCCTGTATATAACCTTAAAGTTGAATAGCTTAAATTTCCAATAATTTAATAATGAATTTTATGGAACTTGTATTAAACGAAGTTTACTTTTAATTCTTTGTACACGGGAAAACATGACACAATAGTTTTTATTTTTTCCTTCCTACTTAGGTTTTGATGCAAAAATAATCTAGAGAAAGTTTCAGATACCTTTTCTTCTGGTTTAACTTCATTACACAATACGGAATATACATCCTCCCAGTTTAATCAACATGACTTGAACCTTCTAATGCTGTGCGTATGTTGTGTGCTAACTAGTTACACTTCCAGTCCTAGAGGAAGATCACTGATCTTTTTCCCAATTTTAATCTTTAATAGTTAGTGATTATTTTTAAAAAACAAACAAAATAAAGTGTACCGTAACTTCTCAGATAAACAATGATTTGTGCGCTCCTGGCCACCGTCATCACAAACCGTTGCTTGTGAGCACTTCATTAGTAATGATGGTATGCCAATAATCTACGGTGGTAACAATGAAAACAAACATGGCTCGCTCTCCGGCTTCTAGTGGTCTCTCCCGCTCCTCCCCCAAACTCAGCCTCTAATACCTACAGTTTCGGCAAACTCTCCCTTATACATTTTCGTATCCCCTAGAGATCAGCAAAAAACCAGCAACCTGGGTTTTGTTGGCCCTATTACACATCGGGAACTAACCAGCTGCCCCATCATGCAGCCCCTCTGGAACCTGAAACAAATCAGTTTCCTCGGTTTGGAGAGACTCAGGTCTAAGTAACCAACAGTTCACAGCACCTCGGGAACAGATTACAAACTCGATACAGTTTCCGGCACCACTGGTTAACTTTTCAACCTTCTAATACACAACAAATAACCACCCACCATCCTGGACTGAGCTTCATACCAAGACCACAAGTCTTCCACGACTTGCGTCAGCCTAATATGTCTGCGATCCCCTCGCCAAGCGTTGTAAGGCTTTCGTTAGTTCTCTGACTATCCTTTAAATTTTTTTTTTTTTTTTTTTTTTTTTTTTTTTTTTTTTTTTTTTTTTTTTTTTTTAACTTGCTCTTTTGGTAAATTCAGTTTACGTATTTCGATGGAAAGGCTTACCATTTTTCATGGGGTCAGATGGCGGCCGACCTACACCCGGGTTTAATGTGTTTATTTACTTGCAGGCCTGGTAATGGCTTTTTAACCTGGTTTAGTTTAAAAGTCGGCGA